CGATCTTCTTCACGACCACTTTGGGCGCGGTGTCTTCTTTCCTGTAGTTCGCGTCACACGGACCACCTAATGGATCGTGAAACAATTTAAAAAGTATCATCTGGAAAATTCCTCTTACCCTCTCTCTCAAGAGAACGTTTACTCTCGATCCTCCAACAACAACAGAAAGAATTAATTAATTATTCGAAATTGAACTTTCTCCATACGACAGAATCAACGATTACGTAGAGCCAGGGGCGGGGGAGAACAAAAAGCAGTGGTTGACGTCACACGGCGTAGAAACCGCGAACGAAAGAAGAGAGAATGTCGATGGGTCACGAGGTAAGTCTCGAAAGGTTGTTTATGTGCTGGCACGTGTCCGCGTGGCTCGAGGGGAAGCAACGAGCAGAAGGGCGTAGGGCGATACGGTTAGGAAAAGGAAGGGAGCAGCGAGGCAAGCACGAGGAGTCGTAGCTGGGACACGTGTACTCGCCAGACATCGATCCTGGAAGTTGCTCTTCAAGGTCGTTCGCGCTGCCACCCTCACCGCCTCGTATCAACGACCTCTCGACCCCTCAGGATATCCTAAAGTACGTCAGTAGGCCAACTAACCCTGAACTCGGTGTACCGCGCGATTACCGTTCTCGGGGGGATACCCTTTTAGACTCTCCAACACTCGACAACACATTCTTACCTTATACATATATATATATATATATGTGTGTGTGTGTGTATATGTATATTTCCTTTCTTCTATTTCATTTTTTTTTCCACCACGCGTTCCCTTCTCCGACGAATTAATTAATCATCCCTCTAGCCTTCGACGTAAAAATTGTCGAATCATTTGGTTGATTTACGACCACCCTGGAATAACTATCGTGATTTTTATCGGAGAGGGGAGGTTTCGGCGATGGAAAAGTTGCTGGGTGATTTCCAGGCGATAGCGGTTTACAGGGAAATCCGTTGCTTTTAAGGTTATCGTGTTTCTCGAAGACTCGCGTGGGAAGGGATCTACCCGTTTGTTAATAGAAACACTGCGTATAATTCGCAGCGGAAGAAACAGTGACCAGCTGTAACGTAGGAGTGTAGAATTGACGTCAAAAAAAATAAGAAAAAATGAAGTGAAAAGTATAAACGATTAAAAGAAATACGACGAAGAGATTAATCCGTCGAGGTACGAACGAAAGATCGGAAAATGAAAAGTCTCGATACACACGGGTATCTGAACGCACGTGCGGCCCGTCGTGCCCACGTGAATGAATGAAAACGTGTGCCGAAGGTTGTAGGGTTGTAGCATGCCGCGGAACGGAAGGAAGAGAGGTGCGAGCAAGAGGAAAACGGGAGTAGTGGGAAGAGAAAGAAGACATCCAAGCGTACGTATACGAACGAACGTGAGAAAGAGAGGGAGAGCCTTATACTCTGGGCTGTTGGCAGACGAAGAGGAAAAAAGGGAAACGAACGACGGCGAAGGAGGCACATGGGCCTTGTATCGAACGTAGCAACCACTATGTGTAGTCAAGGTCGGTCTTTGCCCGTAGCGTAAAGGGGCGTCCTCAGGATGTATCCCTCTCGCGACGATACAACGACCCCTCTTCTCTCTTTACAACATGTTCTTCTCTCTTTCGGTGTAAATAAACCTGACTGTTCTCTATGATACGCGCGCGATTCTCATTGCACCGGGGGAAGATACCTGTGTTCGTTTCATCGAGACACTCACTGCGTCTGTGTATTATTAACGCGAGGAGAAATGTATAATTATCCGGAAAACGTATCTGTCCAAGATGTGTGAACGCACACTGGAGCATTATTATTAGGTCGAGGATCGATATTGGAATTGAACCGTGGTGAAATATTTCAATTCCGCGATTTGAACGTATTGTGTTATGGTAGTGTTAGTGGCTGGTATGCGTACGTATATAGAGACGTTGATCGAGGGGATACGAAGCGGCGTGAAAAGTGGCAGCATGCTTCCATTCGTGCATCAATTAGCCGTGGTAAATAGGAAGACGCGCGAACGTCGTTCCATTGACACGGCCAGTAGTAGGAGTCATTCATGGTCAGACGAGCGTAGGAAGGACTAAATTGGATTCCCCGTGGATGCTCGTGGAGCACACGCGACCGTGTTACTACGCCTATTGATACGACGCGTTGAAATTCTGGACGTGACACGGTGCAACGCGTCCATTATGTATAATTTAAAAATTTCCATGATCATTCGTGCGTTATATTATATTGTGTGTGAGTATGATGGAAACGTTCCTCGAGGACGATCAAATGGTTACTGCGTTGTTGGTTTTTCAAATTAATGTTGAAAATCATGTAACCCTGAATGACGCGAGTTGCTCGAACCGGTATCGTTCGTGTTCGATAGAATACGTGTACGGAGAATACGTACGATTGATTTGTTTAAAGAAAGAAATCAGTAAGCGAAGAAGGATGTTGAAGGCAAATATTTAATTTTTTCGTGAATTAGAAAGTTGAGAGATTTTTTTCTATTTGTTCCAACTCGATCGTTCGATTTTTCATCGAACCGACGACATTGTTTAGAATTCCCCGGCAAAGACGATAACCTTGAATGGCTGTCAGAGGTTCAATTTTTTCAGGGCCGTATCGCGCGCACGAGCAAGCGGCCTGTCGCGCTCGAATCACGAGAGAGCCGCGTTACAAATGTCGGAGGTTACCGCTTTCAGCCGCTTTTTATAGACCGTATTAGCATCCCAATGATTTCTGATTCATCCCAGATGCTCGATGCTATTAAAGAGGAAAAATAAACGGACACCGTTGTCGAATTTAATACCACCGATTTCGAGTTCATCGCCACTAGGCGAATTTACGACACGGTATATTTCCACAATCGGCACTCGAACCATATCTTCGGTTCATTTTACAGCTGAATTCATTCACAAAATATCACAGATCAATCGTTACAAAGTCCCCTTTTTTCTATTCATCGAGGAATCCTTAAAAACGACTTCTTCTCGCCAAATTAAATTCCTCGTCTGTTCGTCAAAGAATCCTCAAAATATGACTTTTCCCCCCACAAATTAAATTCCTCATTTGTTCATCAAAAAAGAATCCTGAACTCGTCCTTTTTTCTGTCCACCAAAGACTCCTCAAAAATGACTTTTCCTCCCCAAAATCAAATTTCTCACCTGACCGATAAATCATCCATTCGAAAGATCGTGAAAAAACGAAGGAAAAAAAGATGCAAAGAAATTACCAAGAGCAGGTGCTTTCCTCTTGACTTTACGGGTCCAAACCTCGAAGCAGTCCTCGAGCGCGAGGTTCCAGTGCTTGTCGAAGGCGGCCACGTATGCCTCCACGTGTCCCCTTATGCCGCGCGCGTTCCTGGTGTAGACCTTCGGCACAAAGGACGAACGATTATTCCTTTTAAATCGTGGCGAGTCTCGTGTTACCTGGCCGCCTCTCGTCGCCTCTCGTCTCGACGGTTCAACCGTTCCAGGTAATGCCGCCTTCTCGCGAAACGGACAAAGAGGGATATATACATATACTACACTACACTACACGCCTTAGCCGGGGCACACGCGTTCTACTCTCTTTTCCTCCCTCGAAAAATAAGCGCACGGAACGTAGCGCGCATCTCGATTCCCCAACCTATTCCAGATCGTACGTGTCTGTACTTACAATCAAGAGGATACCACACGTGTGTAAACTCTGGTGGCTCTAGCTGCAGAGGTGGTATCCGTTGATCGATGGTTGTGCACGGAGAACGGAGAGAGAGGGAAAAAAAAGAAGTGTAATTTTTTGCACGCACCGCCGCAGTGACACATGCATAATTTGTACGGTCTAATTGTACGGTTTTTTTACAGAGGTAAAGAACGGGAGAAAGGAGACCATTAATGCGGCAATTACGACAAATTGCTCGTGGCTGCCGGCGACAAATACCAAATGTTGTCCTCTTTTCCGACAATATTTTCAAGTCACTCCTGATTCGGTTTATTGAATTATTAAATCTCGGAAACAGAATTACCGGTATCGTTGGGAAGTGCGAGCTTTAAGCATTGTCTACGAGATACGTATCTCGATCTCGGAGGAAAGAAACTGTTGGAAAGAAAGTTAACCTGACGGATGGGCTCGCGCGAACTACTCCATTTTCCGGGACGATAATTGTATTAATGACAGCTCGCGCGACTGTGTCTACGAGAAAACGAGCCGCGAGCCCGTTGTTTGTCGCGCGTAGATATGCCGCGAGACAAGATAGCAGGCTGATACGCGGAAGTGCAGGCCGTGGCAAGGCCCCCTTCAATGCCTTTCGCACTGATATATACCCGGGCTTTGTCGCAATGAAAACTAATTGCGTGACTCCGACTCTGACTCGCTCCTCCCTTCCCTCGACCGTTGTTTCTCCCTCTCTTTCGCGTATCCATCCGATGCTCAGTACCGTTTCTAGCTGGTCCCTCTTCACAAATTGATCGATCTTTCATCGTTTCCATGTGCATTCATAAATTCACGTCCTTCGAGATTAGTCATTTTTCCTCCAATTTTTCTGCATTTCTTTCGTGCAAATGCTTCCGCATTTTTTCGCAATTTTTTCTTCCTTTTTTCTGTGCTTGCAATTTTTCGGATTTTGACGTTCTCCTGGAAATTCGTCGGAAGTAGTATGATGGAGAGAGAGAGAGAGAGAGAGAGAGAGAGTGAGAGAGAGGTAATGGTAACCGGCGAGCGACACTCGAAACGGCCGATCAAGAATTCGAAGCGCAGCAGCGCGATACCTTTCTTTCGCCGCTCGTCATTGACTCTGTGCACGTGTCCCGTACGTGCTTGAAACGCCATTGAGAAGAGGGACGTCGGGGCATAGCTAGCTAGAATCGATTCTAGGAGTCCTCAAGATTCCTTGGAGGTATATCCTTGCTGGTCCAGCGGGGCAGGCAGGCAGGCAGGATCCGTCGATTAACCGCGAAGGACGACCGCCGCTTGCTTCTCCCGTTCGTAGATTCGCTTTAATCGTTGGTCCAAGGATCGATCGATCGTACTTGTCACCGTTTAAACGAAAACATCGAATGTCACGGCATCGATCCTGCCAGCTGGAATAAATAAAAAATCATTCTAGCCTGAACCCCAAGGTTCCGTTTCAGTTACACCAGAAAATTTACATCTTCTTGGTAAAATTTCATTTGAATTCCAATTCTTCCATGTGTACGCGTATGTCACCTATGTGAACCTATAAGAAATTGCAAGATTGAAATTCCACGAAAACAATGGTAATGTAGCATAGGTAATTGCCAGACAATCCATAACTATACGAAGAGTAATAAAGGAATAGAAATCGCGTAATGATCGTCCTCGCAGCGAATCATATTCGTCAACCATCGTTCTTTTTATCTCTCTCTTCACGCACATATAATACACACACGCACACGCGCGCGATCTCCGTTACGTAACCAGTCATTAATACGCGGTATTACGTAGGAATGCGTGAAAAATGACGCATAGAGGAGAGGCGAAAGATGGGACTGGTCGGCGGCATCAAGGAGAAAAGAGGCGACAACTTTCTTCGGCGATTTGAGAAGGTAGTCGAAGGCTAACGGTAATCGATCGGTGATTTGCGATTAAAATCTTCTTTTTCCGGATGCAAGCACATCCGAAGGTTAGAGATTAGGATCTGTTCCCAAGGACACGGTGGTTTTTCAAACTATAAACGCACAACGCGAGGGAGTCAGACACTTTGCAGATAGACAGACAGATGGATAGATGTAGAAAGGGAGTGGACAATCTCTCTGATAGCACGACGAACGAGTGACGTGATCGTTGGAATGAAAGTTAATGAAAGTAATTAATCGAGAAACACGTTCCCGCCTCTTATTAAAAGATCCGAAAGGAGTTTAATTAGGAACTCGATTCCGCTCGTTGAGAATATATCGAATATAGACTGGCGCTTCCGCAGGAAGATCAATTGCATCAATTTAACGATTAACTTCTTTTTCTTTTCGCTTGATATCCGTTCGGGAACCACCCGTTCTCCTGTACCACTGCCGCTGCCGCGTTTTAAACCTTCGCTTGCAACGACTAATAATCGAGTTAAACGAGACTATTGCGGAGTATGAATTTCTGTGAACACTGTTACGCCATTTCGACAAAGAGAAAAGTTCTATGGATACTTGGATAGTTGTTCGTTCGTGAAAGAAATGACAAATCTTGTAATTTGTCTAGCGCGAACGGCACAAAGTGGTATTTTTATTCCTCCAGCCTGGACGCTGTTTCATTTCGGGAAATGCGCGTTGTTTGTCGCAACGCTTCCTGCTTCGGATCAGAAATCCCGTTTCTCTCCCGCGTTCGGTCAAAACGCGCCGCTAATTATGGAAGTAGGAAGCAGCAACGCGGACTCGACTGCTCGCCTCGGTGGCAGGAAGTGAATTTTTCCTACTTTCGAGACGTTCGAGACGTTCGAGACGTTCGATTCGTCGGTGGGACGAGCCTGGCCTAGCTCTAGCTAGCGATTTCTCTTCGTTTATAACGCGGCGTGTACCGGAGGAAGAAAAATCAAACACAAAGACCTTGCCCGTTGATTTATTTTCCGGCCGCGAGAAAAATGGCTCGCGCGATCCTTGTCTTCGGGGACTGATACGATCCAGAAACGTCTTCACGTGATTCCATCGGATCGTAGTCGACGTCGTCTCTTCTGACTCACACGCGATATTCAGTTTCCCCGTGGCTACACGAAGAATGCCGCGTACGGTTGGCCAAGATTAAAAACCTTTGATACGCAAGCGCGTCCTCGCTTTCTGCTTGCGTAACCGGACAGATAAAATGCTGGACTTTTCATTAACGGTGCAACATTGTCGTTACCAGAGAGTTGCCGACTAGCCTTGACGTTGCATTAATGCAGATAAACCTTGTGTAACTTGTTAATGAAATACCGATACGAAATTGTCACTTGGTTCCGGGAAATTCGAAAGAGCTAAAGGGGGGGGGGGGCGAATTGAATCGCGTTACGATAGGGGAAGTGACGTTAAATAGTTAATCGAGTCAGAGAGCAGATCACCAATTCTTCGCCATACGAATGTTTAAGTAAAATTATTTCTAGGTCAGTTTTAAAACATTTCAAACATCCGGTTTGCAACCTTTTTTTTATAGCAAAATGACCTCCGAGTGCACAAAGGATTAGCAAATACGAAACTCTGCTTAACCACCGGTGAAAGTTGCTCGAACACTTGATGTTTCACCGACAAAAGTACACCGGTCCCTCGATTACGCGAACGAAGAAAAGCGAGCAATTGCATTACGGTAGCTCGTTGATCTTAGAGAATTGCAATCAACCCAGATGAATTTCCTCTCGATTCCTCCGAAGCACGAAGGGTGAAAGAGCGGCGTTTGGTTGAGTGGCCCTTTCCGAAATGGGTTATACGGTGCGCGACCTTGTCATTTTCGAGCGTGTCCCCTATGAGGAAAAGGGGAAGATCAGGGGCGTAAACAGGAGAAGAAGGGCCCAGGCTTGTGTGTCTCCATGGAGACGAGTGTTGACCCGAACCGTTTCCTCCCTCTTGGCCTTACCTTTCGACCGTTTCCACAGCCCTCCTTTACCTTCGAAGGGCTCGCGCACGTGTCTCCGGCGAGCGAAAGTGTGTCAGCCGCGTGTGCGTGCGCTCACAATGCCAGGGGTCAGGAAGAAATGGTAGGCGTGGGTGTTTACAGTGCCGCTTTCAGGACTACCCTCGAATTTCCATCCGAGTCGTAGATATTCGCCCACACCATTGTCCCATTTTCAATCTTTTCCCTTTTCTTCCTCGTTCTTTCCCTTTTTCTTTCTTTTTTTTCTTTTTTGCCACTCTGTTCTTTGTTTCAGTTCCCTCTCTCTTTTTTCATTGTAATAGCTGTAATTTTTCTTACTTTCTTCCTTTCCTGTTTCCTTTGGAAAATTAAATCGTTCGCCGAGTGTTGAAGTGTTGGAAGTTGACCTACCTTAACGCGAGCGCGGTTTTCCATGCATCCGTGTAGCATTCCTAACGGGCCCAGGGTCCTTTGCATTTTCGCGAGGACGTTCTTTCCCTCTGTACTCCACTCCTCTCTCCCTGGCCTCCTCTTGCCGGCTACTGGCTCTGCACACCACAAAAAGACCTCTGACTCGAAAGCTGTGTACTCGAGATGAACACCAAAGGACAATGAAAATTTCACTTTTAACCGTGTGTTGTCCTGACAAATTTCTCACTACGACGACAAAATGAAAGAAAAGAGGAAAAAGGACAAGCTATTTCTCTACAACTATTGTACATCGTCCATCGATCAAGTTGAAAACGAATTAAGCGGAGCAACAATAGTGGAAAAGCGACGTGTGTGTTAGAGGGGTAAATTCAGCGAAGAAACGAGATGGTTATCAGGCTAACGAGCGTACGCGTTATCCTAACCGATTTTTCCCAGCCGCTCATAACGGCGTGCTAATAAGAATTTATGCTTCTCTCGCGGCTCGTCGGTTCGCCGACAAATCATCGTTCATCCTTGTACCCTAGCCGCGTACAGAGCACCGTGCATGCCGATACCATCGTGTGCTTCTCTCTAGTTGTCCACATTTTTTGCTCCTTTTTCGCCGGCGCATAGTGTGTATACTAGAGGAGAGATAGAAAGAAAGAGATAAACGACATTACGCATATACGACGAGGACGACATGGTCGAAGACACGGGCATGGCGGACAGTTGATTAAGAAAAATCGAATTTGTATGCGAGCTACGCGAACCGAATCGCACGAACGGAATATCCTCTCTCGCGGGAGAGAGTCAGATAGAACCTTCTTCCTTCTATCGATAAAACGGACCGCGACCGCCTTGATGTAAGTAAAGAGATCGAGGGAGAAAGAAGAGAAACAGGATACATGGTGTAGGTTCCTCGGGCAAGCGACAGTTATTTATGGCAATAAATATTTGATTACGATAAATTACGTATACTACCCTGAAGCAACGTAAAAACATACTATCCCCCCGTAATTTCCCCTACTCTCGCTGCGTTCGATGTTTCGTTTAACTATTCGTAACGGCGAAAGTATTCACCGTGCATGACCGGTTACCTGCCTGCCTGCCTGTCTCTCTGCGAGAGAGAGAGAGAGAGAGAGAGAGAGAGAGAGAGAGAGAGAGAGAGAGAGAATATCATCGCGTGTTTCCGTAAAAACGATTTCGGTTCAGGGGGAATCGTTAGGAGTGATAGAGATTGCGACGGTAGAAGGGGTAGGTTCGCGAGAAGGTAGGTTCGGCACTGGCGGCGTGGCGCGGAAAGAGGAACGCCGCAGAGTTACGTAAAGGCTGGCTGGCTTGGCTATACGCTTGCACACGAGTGCACTTATTTCACTTGTGTGCTCGCCAACTTACACATGCCAAACCTATCTCTCTCTCTCTCTCTCTCTCGGCGTTACAGGCGCGTGTATACTTCTCGCGTGTTCGATTCTACAGGTATAGGAGAAGTGAGCGCGAAAAGAGCGGCGCGCTTGGTTGGAGTGGCGATCGTCGGAGGTGCACTCGCGAGATCGACGCTGCCAATTGGCTTTCTCCGATAACTTTCATCCACCTTAAAGCAATACACACGACGCGCGCGCTTTGCCTCCCCGCTGTATAGCCAGTGTGTCGCTTCTTTTCCACCTTTCTTTATTCCTTTCCGCGTACAGGCAGCACGCGTGCGCGCCACTTTCACTATCGTCGCGATCCAATTCCACCTCGCCGAGGCGCGACTCCTAGCCTCTCTCTAACGTGTTCTCAGGGAGAGTCGGCAGGATTTTTCCGAGTCGTCGTGTATAGACACTCTGTATACTTCTACACCTCTACCTATGCGTCGTTGGATGATGCTGATGCTGGTGCGTGTTCGGTTCGGCTCGAGTCGCGCGCGTTGTTGGGCGATTTCTAAAAATAAAAAGTCGGGAGAAGAAGAAGCGAACGGAAGGAAGGAGTAAAGGAGAACACCGTAGAGTGTGTTGTATATACATACGTCGGTGGGTAGGCTAATGTTGGCCCGATTGGTAAAAATACGTACTACACCGTGACTACCGATCGTGTTTTATGTAGATGGTCTCGGGATGGAAGGCGTGGTGAAATTAGAAATTGCCTCGTTCACGGTACCGCGCGTGGCTAATCGCTTTAGGGGCCTTCGGCTTCTTTCTTCGCAACGCCGGCTGTTCGAAGAGAGAGAGAAAAAACGAAAAAATTCGCGACTGTTTCGAATTTCCCGCGCAAACTGAATTCGATCAAACAGAACTGTTCCAAGTTGCACGCTCGTAAAGCCTATTATCGAAATTACGCCAGAAGCGTCTCTCCGGCTTGAACGACGATGCATCTGGCCGATATGAACGAAAGCTTGGGGAATATTTACTCGAGGCACGGAAGGGTCGCGTCCGTGTTTACGATAGTCGCTTTCCACTGTCGGCTCTCTGGTTCTCCACGCGAGAAAGGATGCAATCGGGCCGAACGATCTCGCGCGCGCGCGAGCGCTCGAGAAAGGCGCGGGAGAAAGAGGAGAGAGGAACAGAGTAGAGTGGAGAAAGGAGGCACAGAGAAGGAGGACGCAAAACGCTTCGTCCACCTCTAACGTGCCATTATTTTTTTCCCTCCTATCCTTTCAACCGCGCACACACACAGAGAGAGAGAGAGAGAGAGAGAGCTTTTTTTCGATCTTTAGTTATACACCGGCGGCGCGGTGCAGATAACGCGCGCCGCTTCGAGAGCGTTCACGTGCGTGAACCGCGGAGGGAACCGTTAGCTCTGCAACTGCGTCGAGAAGGAGCGCGCGCGAAACCGCCGCGGTACATTATCTTCTTGTAGCCGTTGCCTTCGCCTCGACATTCTGAAAAATCTCGGAGCATTTTTTGTATTCGAACCTCTCGGTTCCTCGAAACGTAACCTCTAAACAGAAACGATAACACAAACCAGCTCTGATTCACCGGAGAGAAATTCCTCGTATCAATTGTAATCTCCAATTTTTCTCTTCTTTTCTCTTTTTTCGAATCATTTATATCCTCTGCTGCCGTGTGCACGATATATGTGTAAGTTGAAATTCTGGTTGAAGAAATTTCGAGGCGCCATACTCGGTAGTAGGGGAGGAGTATCTCGCGAAAAGGGTGAAAAAACGTTGCGCGGAACCGGCAATTATCGTATCTCCCCTATATCGTGGTCCGCGCCCGTCGACTGGTTCGCGTCCACGCAACATATCTCACGTGTTCACCTGCAAAAATGTTTACCGTGCGTGCGAAGGAGCACTTGGTCCCGAGGTGGAGAGGATCCTATGCAGGTGGGTACGACGGCCCCTGGAGAATGTTGGTGCGCGGGGCAGGTGGGGCGACGCTGTACCCCCCCTCGCGCTTCCTCTCGCGGCCAGGGCAACGAAATATCGCGCGGGGCAGCGGAGGGCTGGTGCTGTGCCCGTGAGCAGCGAAAAGGAGTAGCTCTGCGAGGGCGACAGAGAGAGAGAGAGAAGGCCTGTGCGTTGCGCGCTGAAAGCGTTAGAAAGAGAAAAAGGGAAGAAAACGAAGAGACGAGAAGAGAGGAGGCCGGTACACGAAGAAAGAGGAAGAGTTAGAGAGACGGATAGAGAGGGGAGACACGGTAGCGAAGGCGGAGGAGGAGGAAGAGCCGCGCGCGAGAGTCGCGGAGGGGCGGGGCGGTGTAGAGGCGACGTGGAGGGGGTAGGAGGAGCAGGCCTGGTTGTACCCGCGGATGAGCCCCAGGTTGAGTCGCGCTGGGTTCAACGTCCTGGCGGGCAGCGCACCCGAGAGCCGAGGCAGGCAGCCGAGCAGCCACCAGACCTAACGCACACTTACACACGCGTACATGTGGCTAGTATGTACACGTAGAAAGAGAGGCGAATACTCGCGCACGCGACACGTACCTACGCTCCACCGAGTTGCACGTGCGCGCACGCGCTCTCCTACACAACCAGCCAGTTTTTTCGTTTGTGTATGTACCGCGCGCGGGGAGGCGAACGTGTGTATGTGTGTATAGAGGAACGCACACGGGGAAAGACCGCCGGCCGGCTGGCTTGTTCGCCTCACGAGTTTGCTTTACGCGAACTATCCGTAGGTACTGTTACTTTTGCGACCAGGCCCTTTCGATCCCTTCCCTCCGTCCGCCGCCTCTACCGTTCGCTTTGTTTTCTTCTAAGTAGCGGACAGGTAACCAGTTGAGGAAGATATTGTTACGAATATCGCATAAATTTAGAATGTTCGCCAACTGTATTGCGTCGTATCGTTTACGATTGTAGGAATAATTGCAAACGGGTGTCGTCTATGGCCGCGCGATAAGACGTCGATAAAACGGAGCGTCGTAAGCAATCGTTTTTAGGTTAGGTTACCCATTAATATACGGACGAATCGAGAGAGAAGATTCAGGGATGTTTCCTACCGGTTTCAAGGGAATTGTCTGGTTTCGTTGTCGTGGGAAATCGCGAGTGATCCGCAGGAAAGTCCATGGACGGAGGCTCGGTGAGGTTCCAGAGGAAAGGAGAAATCACTTTTACCCCAGAAGCGAACGAGCACACGGGCAACGTGCGGCGCGGTTAGAGAAAAAAGTAGATCGGCATCGTTGAATTCAGCAATCGTTCTCAACGATGCCCCGCGTGTGTGTACGATATGCATCTAGGAAGTCCGCCGCATTCCTTTCGACGACGCTGCTCGCGGTATCGTCGTTGCGCGATTACCCGCCATTTCTTCCAACAGAGAAAATTACCAAATTCCACGTGTGTCATCTTGATCGACAGTTCCTCCCCTCTAAACTCGACTAGGCGTTTCAAAGGGGGACGATTGAGATTTTTCTTCGAAGGACTTTGCCAGCCTCGTTAAATTTCTTCCAGCAACTATACCCACTCTAAATTCTACGAGGGTGAAGAAGCGCTACCGTTTCGGCGTGCTCGATAGTCATCTGTTACGTTGGGATAGGTCGAGGCGGCGGTACGTGCCCACCAACGGCCGAGAGGAATTGGATCGTCCAGTCTACCGGGTGTCGCGCGTCCAACGCCAAACGAAAGTGCTCGAAAACCGTGGAGAGGTATACGCGCCACCTCTCCCCTTCCCTGTGTCCCCCGTTCGTGCGAGGAATTCGAGAATAGCGAGAACGCTTCCGTATCCGATAACGTTCCACCGAGACAAAAAGCGCCGCGATGCGATGCATCGTGCGCTGCGTTCGACGGGATTGCCTCCTCCTCCTCGTATACACGGCCGCGCGGTAGAAAAGAAATCCCTCCCTCTCTCGGTGAGCCGTTTGGTTGTCGCGCGCTCACGCTCACGCCGACGACGGTGGTGGTGGTGTGTGGTGTGGTGTCGCCGAGCGGTGGATGCATATGTCGCGCGCGTATAAATATTGCGCAACACGCGGCGAGAATCGAAGGGAAAACATCGCCGGCACGACGTGTATTCCGTTACTCGGGGCGAACGACTGCCGGATCCTCTCGCGCTGCTGTCCGTCGTCGCCGCTACTTTGCATCGCGTTCCAACCGACCTGGAGGAATCGTGTATGTCCTCGCTGACGTTCCTCGAAATCGTCCACGGTCGATTACCACGGCGACAGAATGTGCAGAAGACGGTTCTCGTGTTCCTGTCTGGAGATGCTTGAATCTACCGTCTTGAAATTTCCCTCGTAGGACACTCACATGGAGGACACTCTGCTGCTGGTATTGTCTCAGGTCGTGTGAAAAGTGATTCTACGGGAAACCGGAAGTTGAAACTGCTGAAACTCGAGCTTTCACCGGTTTTCCCGGAGCAGAGATGGAAGGGATAGCGGCCGCGAACGTGTCGAGGGAGGGACGTCCACTTGTAACGTAACCTATTAGGAAAGGAAAATCAAGGAATCACCGAGGAGCGTTGTAGACACGGCGAGAGACGAGGAACGTTACGCGAGAGGGGCCCCCGGGGCGAATTAAGCGACTATAATAACGTTCGATTACGTTCTACATAAGCGCAATCATGAAAATCACAGTTCCGGCCGAACGTGTTCGGGCGACTCTCCCTGCTCTCTCGTCATCCTCCGTATCTTTCTACCCCTTTTTTCCCCAACCATACGAACTACTTTCTCCGATAAAACCGCCCTATTCGAACTTTTTCTCGCTCGAACTTAACCGTGGTAACTTCGAAGAGGAGAAGCTTCGCACCGTTCTCGCGAGACCAACCGGGCAGAGTTTCGTTCTCGAGTGACACGTGACGGATTGTCGGTGGCTGAAGACGGAGACCGGAAGTCAAAGGACCTCGACGAGGTTACCAGCGTGTAGAATTTTCGGTCTAGAAGACGGTCAGTCCGTCGCGGAGCCTCGGGTTGAGTCCGAGGTCGACGCCCGGGCGCAACAAGTGCTGCATTACGTACGTATACGCCGCTACACCCCACCCCACTCACCCATACAATCCTACCGGTCAGCCCCTCTCCACCCCCTTGGTGGAAGAAGCCCACCCTCTCTCTCTCGCTCTCCCTCGCTCTGTCTCCCTCCCTCCGCCATGCGGCTTTCCACACGCTGTCGCGCGAGAGAGCATCGCCACACGAGAGAGCCCTACACTAACACCAGCAACCTTCACCGGAGAGCATGTACGTGTATACGCGAGCGCGACGATGCCCAGAGAGATGCTCGACGAAGAAAGAGGGAAAAAGAGAGAGACGGTCGAACGCGAGGCGCGAGACGAGCGGCAGAAGTGCGCGCGTGCCTCCTCGCTCGCACACCAGCGACGCCTGTAAATATAAAACTGCACTGGGTCAGGGATCCGTGATTTATCGGCTGCCTCGTGTAATTGGCTGCCGGCCAATAGATACATACCCCCGGGCTACCCGCTGGGACACGAAGGGAACGCGACTAGCTCTGTCTAACCTACGTTAGTACCAACCCCATCTGTCCTTCTTTTTCCCGTGTTTCGCGACGGTGGCTTTCTGTGCCGCGTGTTCCGTGTAGGAGAGATGATGTTTTCACTCGACCCTGTACGGCCCTGGGACCGCGTATTATACACACACCGTGCGCCTGCCGAAATTTCGTTGCCGGGTAACCGCGCCACTTTCACTGAAAATCTAAGCCGACCTCGCTTTGGCACCGTGTCAGAATCACGGTTAAGAAGCGACGTGGGCCTTTGGTCAAGTTTCGTACGAGCACCCTGTGTCTGATGTAATAGGCTTTTCGAGTTGTGGACCCTGACCATCTACGGTGTAACCTTTCTCGCAGATTTTTCTACTCTGTGCAACCAACGAACGTTTTTAGTTTCGACGGTGACGTAAGAATGTCGAGGCATCCATCGGTATGTAGCCGATAAACTAGAAACCCCTTAAATGTACCTATTGGGTACAGAAGAAATATCAACCGATTTCTGTGGAGGTTAGAATAGGAAAGAAAGAGATGGCGCAGTCGATAACCCTGTGAGCGGCAATGTTAGTCGCCTGAAGGCTTCCGCGGTTGCAAAACATTTCGGGAGAGAGACCTTCTGCCGTTGCGGATTCCGCGAGACACGGTTTGCACAATACGTACCCGAGGGAAGGTCTCGGCGAATGCTTCGCGACAACTAGATATGATCCAGCGGTGCACGGTGAGGCACGCGATAAAAGGACAGTCTCAGAGGCAGAAGGAAACAATGAGACCGACCGGGGGCTTCCACAAGTTGACGCACTTTCGCGGAGGTCAAATTCCACGAGACTATGCGCGGCTACGGAGTCATACCGACGACCTTCGTGGTATTTGTCGGATCGTAAATAACGTGTGCCAATATCTCGGATATAGAGTCCACCAGTCGGCGTCGTTTGTTCGCGCTATTAGCGTGAACCGTGTCGAGGGAGGGGGAATCGAAGGAAAAAAAAATACGGCTGAATGATTCATTCGAGAGAATCTCGGGTATATGGAGCGTTCTACCTCGGCAACGACGACTCACGACTTCGACGTAAAAACGAGATTTTTTTTGTTAAGATAGTATTCGAGACGTAGTAAACAGTGTAACTTCTCGTATGCGTTGGCGCGTTCGAACTGTGTAGATTTCGCCTCGGATGTTTCACGAAAGCGAGAAGTTGATACTTTGGTTAAAGGAAAAAAATTCTTTAAGACACGCCAGTATGTTTCTTGGGATGTAAAAGGGACACGAGCCCGTCATAGAGTCTCACGCGACTTCCCCATTCTACTTCCGCGTACGTACACTGTTCGTGTTAGCTAACCGTAAGCATATTGAAATTTGATACCACGTGCGAGTTATCATGAATGAAACTGCGACCTCCCGACAGCGCGAGGGTTTCACACGGTCGCCATCTCTCGTGAAGCATCCAAAGGTTCGCCCGAACAAATGCTACATAACCTCACTCTTCCGGATGACAAAAACACGAGATACGTCACCATGTGGTGCGTCGAGGAATTATTGCAATCGAGCCTTACCTTGATGGGGTAAAAATCGTCTTGAACATTCTCCTTGCTCGCTGCCCACGGTCTTATCTTTTCTCTGAAATAATTAAACAAACATGGGAACAGAGGATTTCAATCGATGGCAAGTTGGCGGCACGCGGTTCGTTTGTTACGCACTTTCGATTTTTCGTCTCTACCGGTTATTACATTTACGAACTTGCAAACGTTGTCGTAAATAGGCGCTTTCGACTTGGAAAGCTTGAGCTTCGTGGAATAGAGAGCTTTTATCGGGTCAAATTTGTCACTTGTCACGTCTAAACTTTCGTCAGACGTCGAGCTGCTTTCGTCGTCTGCCATGTCAAAACTATCGGTTGCTATTTTGCGCGGGAGATTTAAAATTCGTTTTGTAAAAGTTGCAATATTTCTACGTTCGATTAGAAACGGGCTGTAAATCATTCGTGCGTATATCTACTATATGTACGTATATCGTATTTCAAGAAGAAAGGTTCTCGAAGCGATATTTTTACTTCGTTGAATTTCCATTGATTATGTAAAAGAAAGGATATAATAAGGTTTCGTTAGAACGTTCTCTCTTTCTACGCTCGTACACACAGACATTTGATCGGTTGGGTTTTCGACGCAGCGCGTTGCTCCCGATTACATCGGCTGCCGAGCGATATTTGAATAGGTAGAACTAGAGGATGTTAACCTCCTCGCGAACGATAGAAACTTTCTTTCGCGGCTGGAGGATTACGTAAAGACAGCGGCGTGTAGAAGCTGCATAGAAATGCAGCGACTGCGGCGGCGGTGCAAGAGAAGTGAGGTTACGCGCACAGGAAGTGAAACAACCTACAAGCCAGAAAGAAAGTTTTCACTCGATGTTTTCACTTTCATGGAAATGCCAGCGTTACCTGCTCCGTTACACGCTATACCACATGAATTAACTTCTAATTATTGGAATCGATTGGCTTGCATCGACGAGTCCAGTGATCGAGTGAATCGTTTCACTGTTCACGCCGTAATTAAACCTATCGATCGGTATCAATCGACAGATCGCTCTAGCACACGACGGACGTTTACGGAATTAGTTCGCGGGAAACATGTCCGCCTCGTGTAACAAGAGAAAGTAATTTTTAAACGGAACTCTCTAAATATATTCCTTTGCTTGAGAAATCAATTCTACAGCGAATTAAATTTGTTTGTTTCAGGGGAATCGAAGTAGTGCGTAAATTAAGAAGGAGAAATCTGCGTTGCAGAAAAAGAAGGAGGCGAATAGTGGGGACGTTTCAGAGGTGGTTTTGGATGTTAGAAAGCGCGGGGGTGGCTAGAGAGGCCCCGCCGCAGGGTACGGGTCCCGATGCCGGTCCCCGTATCGCAAACCCTTACGCTGACCTCCACCCTCGTGCCCAAGGAGGAGTCAAACATGCCCTTCATAGACGACGAGCTACTCTGGTGCCCTGACAATGACGGCAAAATGGTCGATTTGACGCAATGTCTCCAGGTTGGTGTCCACCATGATGCTTTTCAAATTTGAACAACGCACGAGCGATTTCGCGCGATGACGCGCCATAACCTGGTTTTTTCGTATCGTCAGGAGAGCAGCACAGGGCAATCGGTCGAATTTTCCCCGATGGAATTGAGTGCCCTCGTGGGGACGCCCGCTGCTCCAAATATGCCGGCGGAAGAGGGCGAAGGAATGGCTGGCGTCACAGGGGAGGAACCCTTTGACACGCTAGACACATTCCTTCGAGAGCTGCAAGCTGATTTGGCCGAAGCCAGTCAACCCACGTCTACCACGACTTCCGTAACCCCCTCCTGTAGACGGCAGAGGTACAATATCGCAGCCGCCAACCCTTTGTTAGCAGGTTAGTGTCGCGAGTAGACGAAATTTCAAATCTACGAAAATGGTTAGTTATCATTTGTCGTCTCTTTTATTTGTTATAGAAAAATTAGCAGCTCCTTCGTCGCAAGCGTCTCCAACCTCCATCCCCTACGCAACGAGGGCGGAAATCAAGACGGAAAGTATTCAGCCTGAGACGAGTAAAGGTAGGATGCACAAATTTGCCATAAATTTTGAACTGTCAGTTGAGCAACGACTGTTATTTCACCTGCTTTATCGTGACACGATCATTCGTGAAGTCTACATTACCGACAATAGTTCACGGTTGCAACATTTTCTACTTTATCTACAATGTTTCACCTTTCCCAGCTCTTACCGACGCGTCAGTTTACCATTTCTGTCGGCATAGTAGAAATTTATCGCAGCACTATTCCATCAGAGAGCATGTATCCTGTATCGATATAAACGGTATGCACTTATCGAGTTTTCGACTGAAGCTCGAACCACGCTTGGTATTTAAGCAATGCCGATTCGCTATTCCGAAAGGGAAACCGGCCAAGGCCCCGCGAATCGCGACCAGACATCCGCGTTAGCGATAATTGCGCCTGCGTTCTTGTGCCGACGCAAAAAAAAAAGCAGCCAGCCGTCCGTGTGCGTTATACGTGCACGAACCGGTGCGTACGTATTAGTAGTGGCCCAATTCTTACAATTTACAGCCATGTCGTAACAACACACTACGTGCGTACGCGATTTCGCGATTGCTTCGTGTTAGCCTCGAGACGTACGGAACGTGCAACGACCATCGAGGAAGAAACGCGTATTTGCACGACCTTAAGGCTTATGCGACGCAAATATTATGCCACTTCGCGCGTTAGGTGTCGTGTTCTATAACTCGAAACATACCTGCTGAAGCGACAACGCGACGCCCGCTCGCCTCG